AAAATTATTCAATGAAATAGGTAATTTTAAAGTTGAAATTACTCACTGTAAGCACTATAAAGTATATCGAACAGTGATAGTAAATATACCACACGGTATTACGTCACTAAATTGACCCATTACAGGGTGGGTCAAAAAGCGTCACTTTTTTAATAAAACAGTTTTATTTCCTTGAGACCTCCCCATACCCTATAATCGACTGGGGTTTGCACCAGGACTATTAGTTGGGTGGTTACATATACCATATGCATGTACCATAAGTATACCATGCCGTATCAGTTCTGGTACATTATGCAAATTACGTTTATTTCTGATGGCACTCCACATGTTTAAGTGAGACGCTGGTGATATCTCTTGATCAAGTAGAAGTGTTCAATTTAGAAAATTTTTGAAAGTTTAATTCATTCCAAAAGTTTAAATGTACAATTTCATTGTATTGAACAAAAGGAATATTACGAAAATGTTATTTATAAATTGTGCTTTTACTGTAGGCCTATTTTGTCATTTGAAAAAGGTGAAAATGTTACATATACATCAAGCCCACTCAAGCATGAGATACACCAGTTATGTACGGTCGGTTTTGGATATAGGGTATATCCCTCGGGGAATATTTATGTCTCCCCTTGGTTCCTTCGTTCCGTCGGGGAGATATAGAGATTATCCTATATGAGGTTCAGGATATTTTGATTATCCCGAGGCCAATATAATATATCTACCCGAGGACCGTATGTCCCGAGGGTAGATATATTATATTGGCCAAGGGATAATCCAAATATCCTGATCCGACTATTGAATGATCTGTTTATCCCATCCAATCACATTGTTCAATTGGCCACAGTTCAGAAACTTTGCAACCAACCGTGGAATTATTTTAAAATATTCATGTCCGGTTTTGTATGCTTGTCCGTAGTCGGATTTTCCTGTTTAAATCTTTGATTGTTAACGGGGAATATTTCTCCTTCTCTTCTTTAAAGCATCAAACAGATCGCGATTTTCTCCTTTGTCGTTTACAGTATGCGAACGTTACAAAAAAGAACCAATACGGGAACAGTGATTATATACTATATCTGCCCGCTCGGAGCGGGACGTAAAGCTATATCTGCCCGCTGATGAAAATATAAGTTTTTACACACCGGTTTTATGTACCTGTAACACGTATGGGATAAATAGGGGTTATGCACTGGGAGGTTTTGGATACAGGGAATATCCCAAGGGATATTCCATGTATCCAAACCGACCGTGCATAACTGGTGTATCTCATACTTGAGTGGGTTTAGGGTAGATATAACATTTTCCACCTTTTTCAAATGACAAGATATTTATATTTAACATTTTCGTAATATTCTTTTTGTTCAATACAATGGAATTGTAACATTTAAACTTAAAAAATTTAATTTTAAAATTAAAAAATTAAAACTTTTGATATTTAAACTTTTGAAAAATTCCCGGGAGCGGGATGGATATTATATCTGCCCGCATTTGGCCTGGAGCGGGACATGTACAATATATCCTGCCCGTTCCTCAGATACGATATATATTCCCGGGTGATATCTACCCCAAACCCACTCAAGTATGAGATACATAAATATATCCATCAGGATATACCCTATATCCAAAACCTCCCAGTATATAACCCTTATATATATATAAATATGTATATACAGTAAACGCTCCCTTAAAGCTTTTTTGGTAAGATTTGAGAACAGGAAACAGAAAAAATCTGAAGAACATATCTCAGAGCACATTACTTGTGGACTAGTCATAAGAACCTGAGACTAACATAATGATGGTCTCAGTAAGAACAAACAAACTCGAACATACCAAACTCTGATATGTAAAGTTACTCTATGTTAATTACCATGTTTGAAAATATTTATTAGTTTGTATTAGTTTTTGTACTATTGACTTTGAAACTAGATTTTAGCTATACATCGCTTTGCTCGCATCATAATGACATTAGTTATAACTAATTATCACCATTAATATCTTCTGAGCCATTATCGTAATCGCTGGGACATGCTTAGAATGTATCTATGACATTTACAACACTCCATGGGTATACACGGTGTCCAACCCAAACGCTCTTACATGCAAGACGGAGCGTTTCATTACTGAAAGTAAACGAAGAAACGCTCCGGAAACGCTGGCGGGCGGGAACGATGAGCCGTCTGACGATTTCCCCAATAATGGGAATAAGAGGTATGTGTTACTTATTTCGAGTATACCATATGATATTCATGTTGTACTTGGCTGGCTGTTGACGTTTGAAGCAATTAGGAAGAGCTAGTACGAAGCAGTATAGTTATCAAAATTTATAAACTTATAATATGTCATTCTACCGGTCAAAACCCACTTTGTCCGGAAATATGATTAGTTGAGTCAAGATTAGAGCATCAGAGTATATTTTGGTCAAATTCCAAAGCTTCGACACACCATACATTATCGTTATTGTGATTTGATGACAGAAAATCCAGTCTTAAAAATGATGACATTCATATTCAAGAAACGTTGCGAATTGCGATCTGGTTAACACAGTGAACTGGAAACGCTGTGGTAATCTACTAGATATGTTTAGGAGTTAGCTTTACTATTTTGTCAATAGTTTTATGTTTTAGCACTCATGTAGGCACAACATCATCTACACAGCCAATATAATTCGACGCCGTTTCGGCATCGAAAAAATTTGGCACTGTTCCGGCACCGTTTCGACACCGTTCCGGCACCGAAACCTTTTGACACCAAAATTTGTTACCGGACTAGTCAGTCCATTTGGTGCCGAAACGGCACCGAAATTTGGCACCGAAACGGCGTTGAAAATCAGATTACATTTTGGGGGTGTATAATGTAGGCTTAAGTCGACTTGTTGCACGTGTCGCACCACAAGGTTGGGACGTTTCAATCTGCCTAAAGTACAACATGTTTTTGAGAGATAGATCGATTCCGAACTCTTCTTTGATAATCTGAAAATAATATCGAAACAAAATGGTTAGAGCGTTTCTAAAATTTTGTCCAAAATCGACAGAGCATTTCGAGGAAAACAAGCCATTTCTCGAGAACAACTAATGGATTTGAAATGGGATTTTAGCAAATGATTTGAGAACATATAAACGAGATTGTGATCTACTACTTTAATATAATTTGTGGCCAATTCGTCAATTCCAGATTCGTTCGATATACACTACAGAGCTTTGATCAAACACATATCAGTTTACTACCAGAAGTTGAATAAATAAGATCTTTGCTCAAGGTATTGTTCATCGAATGGTACATAATATGTCAACATAACGTATGATATGTAAGAGAAACGAGTGAAACAATACTTACGGTCATATTGGGATCTTCATTAGCCCGGCCTTTTTATTTCGCCCCGCAGCGTTTCCGCGTGAATAAAATGCTCCGTCGTGCATGTAAGAGCGTTTGGGTTGGACACCGTAGTATAGCTAGGATCTAAAAAGACTGGGAAAATCTAAATAACTTTGATAAAAGACCTTTTGAGATAATATACTACAATGGGACCTTTTCCAAGTTTTTGATGAAAAAGTGTCTTACAGTATACCGAAGAACACGCCTGTTTGATCAACATTTTGGTTAGGCAATTGCCTCTCCTGCCTCGTGGCTCACCGAGGCCACATACTCACTAACATATAATAGTGATTCAATAGCAGTCATGTGATCTTGGGTTTAATTGCAAACTGGGTAATTGTCCCACGTGGTGCTTAAAAGAGGTTGTTAAAGAAAGAAGCGACATTTTATTGCTTAACGATGTTTATATTAGTCCCTGTAGGATGGGCGATGTAACGGATAGTATACGGATTAAGAATGAGAAAACATTCGTCAAATGCTCGGGGGAATTCATTATGAGAGACTAACATGTTGTAGATGAATCTGAAATGAGATAGGACAAGGCATAGTATAGGCATGAGCATTTGTCGAATCTTGTAATTCTTAAGCATGTTTTTACATTACTGAAACAATTGATCAAAATAGCACGATCACGATACGATATTTAACACTTATTTCTGGGTTTCAATATTGCAAAACTTGTTTATAAATCTGATATTATGTTTTGTATAAAGACACCTTCCTCACATATTCTTACATTTTTCTGCTGCGTTGTAGCATTATCATTCTTCGGTCTTTCCCGTTTGGCATTTTGCTGACATTCAAGCTATTACAAACAACCTTTTATTTTTCACGATATGGTTAGGTGATTAAATTAAAGTTGATATTGACAATGATGTATGGCTTTCCGCAGCTTTATAACATCCGATAAGTTTCCTGCAATTATTGAAGTAATTGTCAGAGTTTTTATTGTCGGAAATTGGAAAATTGAAGGGGAAATGTGTGTTTGAAGCAGTGGCCGATGTAAGGTGTAAGACAATATTTGGATAACTCCGGAAATCCAATGTTACTCTGAGATTGAAGTGCAATCCATAAACGCCAACCTATACGTACAGTGACCAATCGCCCATATAAATGCATTGCATAAATATTTTCCGTTCTCGTTTAGGTTGTGAAAAACATTGCAAGCTTAAACTCCCTACTGTATTATATCTATATGAGTTATGCAATGTGAGCCAAAAAGGTAGCCCAAACAAATCTTAATAACTTAGTATACAGAATGAATGACAGGTCATATTGAGCAAAATTGACATTTGTTTGATGTTCCTCTATTCCTCAAAGATTTCTTGGTCTATTTCCAAATGTCCCGATTTCATGGACATTTTACGAAACATGCTCCAAATGTCAAAACATACGAAAATGACCCAATAATGATATGAAACCCAAATCCCAAAAAGTATTTTGAGAAACTTATATAAGATAGACACTACCAGATCCGGGAGAAATGCGAAATGTGATAAAAATATTGAATGGTAAATTATGGCTGGCGACTTATCAGCGAATTTCATAATATCTGAATAAAGAGTAGTGGCACGATTGGAGCTGATCATACCCTCAGAGAAGACAGACGTGTACATCATGATCAAACTTAGTCCTACCTTTTAGTGTACTATGGTTTGATTTGTGGTGCAAATACAGTATTTCTTGGCTGAGGTTCGGTATCATTTGAGGCCTCAATAATTACCTCCACTATCAAGACTAATATCAACCCTCCGACAAGTACACACACACCAACTATAATACCAATAAACAGTCGTCGTCTATCCGGTATCGAAAATAAATCATCGATCTCCTCCGTTTTCTCAGAAATTGAAAGTCGTCTGAATTTCCCGCTTCGCATGTTTTGTCTGATATCCGTCGAACCTGTCTCAGGATTTTTGTGTGAAAACGAAAGTACCTTCGTCGTCATTACTTAATGTGGTATCGCCTGCGCAGTGTCCAAGCTTAGTATTCCGGATTTTCGCCCATGTATTCAGTGCTGATCGATTGAGAAACGAGATGAAATATGTCAAGGAAGTAGTTTTAACATCTACGACTTAAACAATGTTCATAGTGACTTAATACTCAGATACCGCTTAAGCATGCTAATTGCTTTCGTGGTCGCTGACACAAAACATTACGTTAATTAGATCCCAATTTGAGATGATTATGACGAATCATATCAACTATAAGTTCCCAATAAGCAGTTGTTTTGTTCATACTTGTGCTTGTAGCTTTTCTAGATTTTAGTTTGTTGCAGCTACAATAATCGAAAGTCTTCCCTATTTTATTTGGCAGATTTATCCTTATTTGTTAATCGCCCTTGAGATAAGTTAAAGATTAAGAGAAAAAATGAACGTCCATCATTGAATAGATCTATTTGATGTTTACGCTTGGAGTGATAATATAATTCAAGGAAGCTCTGACACACTCTAGTCTTAATGAATATTCCATAAGCCTGGTATTTATAATTTAGTCCCAAGTCTTCTAGGAATTTAAAATGTGATTAGTTGAGTCAAGATTAGAGCATCAGAGTATATGTTGGTCAAATTCCAAAGCTTCAACACACCATACATTATCGTTATTGTGATTCGATGACCGAAAATCCAGTCTTAAAAATGATGACATTCTCATATTCAAGAAACGCTGCGGTCAGGTTAACACAATGAACTGGAAACGCTGTGGTAGTCTAGATATGTTTAGGAGTTAGCTGGACTTTTTTGTCAATAGTTTTATGTTTTAGCACTCATGTAGGCATAACGTCATCTATTGTAGGCTTAAGTCGGCTTGTTGCACGTGTCGCACCAAAAGGTTGGTAAGTTCTAATTTGCCTAACAAGTACAACACGTTTTTGAAAGACAGATAATAGTAATAGTAGTGCTTCAATAGCAGTCATGTGATCTTGGGTTTAATTGCAAACTGGGTAATTATCTCACGTGGTGCTTAAAAGAGGTTGTTAAAGAAAAAGCGACATTTTATTGCTTAACGATGTTTATATTAGTCCCTGTAGGATGGGCGATGTAACGGATAGTATACGGATTAAGAATGAGAAAACATTCGTCAAATGCTCAGGGGAATTCATTATGAGAGACTAACATGTTGTAGATGAATCTGAAATGAGATAGGACAAGGCATATTATAGGCATGAGCATTTGTCGAATCTTGTAATTCTTATGCATGTATTTGTATTACCTAAATAATTGATCAAAATAGCACGATCGCGATACGATATTTTAACACTTATTTCTGGGTTTCAATTCAATATTGCAAAACTTGTTTATAAATCTGATATTATGTTTTGTATAAAGACACCTTCATGACATATTCTAACATTTTTCTGCTGCGTTGTAGCATTATCATTCTTCGGTCTTTCCCGTTTGGCATTTTGCTGACATTCAAGCTATTACAAACAACCTTTTATTTTTCACGATATGGTTAGGTGATTAAATTAAAGTTGATATTGACAATGATGTATGGCTTTCCGCAGCTTTATAACATCCGATAAGTTTCCTGCAATTATTGAGGTAATTGTCAGAGTTTTTATTGTCGGAAATTGGAAAATTGAAGGGGAAATGTGTGTTTGAAGCAGTGGCCGATGTAAGGTGTAAAACAATATTTGGATAACTCCGGAAATCCAATGTTACGCTGAGATTGAAATGCAATCCATAAACGCCAACCTATACGTACAGTGACCAATCGCCCATATAAATGCATCGCATAAATATTTTCCGTTCTCGTTTAGGTTGTGAAAAACATTGCAAGCTTAAACTCCCTACTGTATTATATCTATATGGGTTATGCAGTGTGAGCCAAAAAGGTAGCCCAAACAAATCTTAATAACTTAGTAATACAGAATGAATGACAGATCATATTGAGCAAAATTGAAATTTGTTTGATGTTCCTCTATTCCTCAAAGATTTCTTGGTCTATTTCCAAATGTCCCGATTTCATGGACATTTTACGAAGCATGCTCCAAATGTCAAAACATACGAAAATGACCCAATAATGATATGAAACCCAAATCCCAAAAAGTATTTTGAGAAACTTATATAAGATAGACACTACCAGATCCGGGAGAAATGCGAAATGTGATAACAAATATTGAATGGTAAATTATGGCTGGCGACTTATCAGCGAATTTCATAATATCTGAATAAAGAGTAGTGGCACGATTGGAGCTGATCATACCCTCAGAGAAGACAGACGTGTACATCATGATCAAACTTAGTCCTACCTTTTAGTGTACTATGGTTTGATTTGTGGGGCAAATACAGTGTTTCTTGGCTGAGGTTCGGTATCATTTGAGGCCTCAATAATTACCTCCACTATCAAGACTAATATCAACCCTCCGACAAGTACACACACACCAACTATAATACCAATAAACAGTCGTCGTCTATCCGGTATCGAAAATAGATCATCGATCTCCTCCGTTTTCTCAGAAATTGAAAGTCGTCTGAATTTCCCGCTTCGCATGTTTTGTCTGATATCCGTTGAACCTCTGTCTGGATTTTCGAGTGAAAACGAAAGTACTTTCGTCGTCATTACTTAATGTGGTATCGCCTGCGCAGTGTCCAAGCTTAGTATTCCGGAATTTCGCCCATGTAATCAGTGCTGATCGATTGAGAAATAAGCCTAAAGGTAGTTCTGAACGAGATGAAATATGTCAAGGAAGTAGTTTTAACATCTACGACTTAAACAATGTTCATAGTGACTTAATACTCAGATACCGCTTAAGCATGCTAATTGCTTTCGTGGTCGCTGACACAAAACATTGCGTTAATTAGATCCCAATTTGAGATTATTATGACGAATCATATCAACCTATAAGTTCCCAATAAGCAGTTGTTTTGTCAATACTTGTGCTTGTAGCTTTTCTAGATTTTAGTTTGATGCAGCTACAATAACCGAAAGTCTTCTCTATTTTATTTGGCAGATTTATCCTTATTTGTTAATCGCCCTTGAGATAAGTTAAAGATTAAGTGAAAAATAGTCCATCATAATAGATATGTTTGATTTTACGCTTGGAGTGATAATATAATTCAAGGTAGCTCTGACACACTCTAGTCTTAATGAATATTCCATAAGCCTGGTATTTATTATTTAGTCCCAGGTCTTGTAGGAATTTATTTCTAAAGGGGTACACTAATTGACTTTTGTAATGAACTTATTGGATTTATCGGAAACAATGAAAACGTTTAGTATTTTCTCGTGTAGGATCACAAATTCACATTGTCTTTGAGCCATGTGCCTCAAATTGCATAGAATACAAAGCCTACGTGTGATACTTTATAAACAGGCACCTACCCATTATATGTTGGTTGCCATGTAATTTGTTTTAACAGGATATTGCCTTTTGTTATATATTCTGCAAATTACAATACGATGTATTCATTTGTCTCACATCGCAATTTGATGTTAGAAACTGTACCCATATTTGAAGTGGTCCAAAAAGTGTTAGCGTTAGCGGAGGTAATGCCCTGGTCACATTTGTTCCAATCCATCGGCCGGCACCCGGCCGATTGAGTGTTTTGTTCAATACTGTATTCAATTTTGAACAACATACTCAATCGGCCGGACGCCATTGTGAAAATCGGTGCAAATGTGACCAAGGCATTAACAAACATACATGTATACATATCTAGATAGGGGACCTTAAGAACTATTGGCTGCGTTCTTACTTTTCAATGATAAAGACCTGACAAACAAATGAATTTTGAATATGTTCAAGGCAGTTATAAAATAATTGAAGAACGTTCATGAGGTCATGATTTCAGATGACTTTAACATATACTTATCATGTTTTTACTTGATAATATACATACTGCGTCGCAGTACAATTACTCTACTATTTCCACAATTTTATTCATATTAGGTGTCAACTACACATATATGAGTATATTTTAAGTCTCAAAACATGGAGATCGGGAATAGGCTTAATGCATACTGCGTTGCGATACAATTACTCTACTATTTTCACAATTTTATTGATATTAGGTGTCAACTACACATTCATGAATCTATTTAAGTCTCAAAACGACTTACAAGTGTTACCATGATGGTAACTCCCAATAAACAATAAAACCGTTAAAGGCCCCATGTAAAGTTTAAACCACTTTGGCTTATATTGTAGTCTTACCCAATGTTATCAAAGTGTGATATGTGAAACTTTTTTTTTTAATTTCAAAAAGTGGTTTTTGATAGACTTTTTGTTCCAAAATTTGTGAATTTATTTAAAACCAACTTTTAGAGGTCACTCATATCTTCTAATTAGCCACAAGTCATACCAATGCATAGCATTCATCCTCCCATTTTTTGCCGAAAAAATTAAGAAAATCCGTTGATAAACAAGCGAGAAATGAACTTATCAGTGCATGAAAATGGTTCTGAAAAAAATGCATTTCAAAATTTCAGTTCTCATAGAAACCAATGGTACAATGATATCTAATTTAAAACATAATTTATTCTTCGTTTTAACCTGGTTAGACAATCAACATTGGTTTTTTATGAAAGTCTAGCATATTTAGAAAAGATTGACATCGAAAAAAAAAATTCAATTTTTTTCAAAAAGTTTTTGTTACCTTAGTGACATCACTAATGTTTCAAAATATTTTTGATATGCTAAAACATTGAAGTGGCCCATTAAATATGACATTTTATTATTGAAATAGTGTGTTTTGTTCAATCTTTGCATTGGTGTTAAAAAGATAATCTTTTTTGAAATGCATTAAGAAATATTTGATGATTAAGCAATTTCAACTTTTTTTGAAAAATGGCGGGAAATTTGAATATTTGAGAAATGAAATGCTCACAACTTTTTTTTCGAAAAATTTTTTTTGTTCAAAAATCTCTAAAATCACTTTTTAAGTCCTGACAAATAGTAAATGAATGATAAAAAAATATTTTCAAACTTTAGACGGGGACTTTAAGATTTGAAAAAGTCCTAAGACATTGCATTTCATTTTTGCCAAAGGTTTTACCTTATAATAACCTGATTTACATAATATTTACCAGGTACATTCTGAACTGCCCCGGGGTCCATGCACTTGTGTTACTATGGCAACCATAAAATCGGCCAATCAAATGCCAGTCACTCCGATCCATACTTCGTATGTATATGTATAAATGTACAAGGTAAATATATGAAATTACCTGAATGTATTGATTGCCTTTTTAAAATGTTTAACCTCATGTATGCTGATGACACTGTTATCTCATCAGAAACAAAGCAAGGTTTACAAAGTGGTCTTGATGCATTAAAATCATATTGCGAGCAAACTAAACTTGTCGTTAATGCTAAAAAGACAAATGTTGTAATATTTTCTAAGAAAAAAACCAAAGAAACATTTAGATTTTTGTATGATGGAGAACAACTCAAAATTGAAGACTCGTTCAAGTATTTGGGAGTCTGGTTCACTTATGATGGGAATTTTCGCAAAAATGTTAATTTATTATTACGAAATGCAGAAAATGCTATGTATTGTGTCTTAGGCAGATGTACAGAGATGAGCTTGCCACTCGATATACAATTACATTTATTTGACTCATTAATATTGCCAATTTTTACTTATGGATGTGAGGTATGGGGATGCTCCAAAGCAATGCTCATGTGTGAAAAACTTCATTTAAAATATTGTAAATATATCTTGAGAGTTAACGAGCAACACCATCATTTATGATATACGTAGTTAGGTAGATACCCTATTGAAATATCAATAAAAACAAGGATAATTAATTTTTGGACTAAATTAGTCACAAGTGACACTTTAAGTAGAAAAGTATATAAGACAATGCTAAAACTATACCAGGAAGGTATTTATAAGTCACAGTGGTTAAAGTGTGTAGAGAATATTTTAAATGAATGTGGTTTTCCAAATATCTGGAATCTCAAAGTTTTGATAGTAGATTTGCACTGGAATTAAGAGTTAAACGCAAACTAAAAGATCAGTTTATTCAAAAATGGAATACAAACCTTCAGGAACGCGCATATCACTTATACAAGGCAATTAAGACCAATATTAACTTTGAATCTTATCTCCACCACCCATTGAGCATACGTCTGTACATGACAAAGTTTAAGATGTCAAATCATAATTTACCAATAGAAACTGGAAGGTATAATAATATACCAAGACATTCACGAATATGTACACATTGTAACAAATTAAGTGATGAATATAGAGCCAGATAAACGAACATTGAGTGCATTCCCGGTTCAAAATTCTGAGTCATTAATTGCGCCCCCAAAGTCCAGTGCTACAAAGACTGGTTCAAAGAACACTACTAAGAGTGTCAATAGGATATTAAACGGCCAAGTTACAAAAACATTTGTGGATAAACCACCCACGACCTCCTCAACTCTGGCAGCTGCCATTCGGGAAGGTATCGTCCAAGGGGCTCACCCCCCTCGGTCGACATCTCCCCGAGAGGCACCCACAGCTGAGCAGGCCGAGGGTGGGGGGCTTAATTTTCAGGGAAACACAGCTGATGTCATTAGTATCACGCATGATGGATACAATCCAGGTATGCAGGCCCAGGCCATTGCTCCTCCATCGTCCTCTACTTGCTCCATAGAGATCGTAATGAATATGTTCCAGAAACTTCAACAAGGCCAAGAGACAGTTCTTACTTCAGTCGCCCAAATTCGATCTGATATGGCCAAACAAGAGGCCCGTATTATGGATAAGATTGAGGAAAAGATTGGAAAATCTGAAACACAGCTGAGATCTGAGATCTCTTCGGCCCAAGAAACTCTGCAAAAACAAATCACAAATCTCGAGGTTGGCTCGACTAAATCGCAGGAGGTAATACAATTTGTGATAAAAAACTTACAAGCATCAGCTGATCATTCAGACACTGTCCTCATAAATAATCTTATTGAAACTGGACTTAATATTAAGGATGTAAAAGTAACTGGCACTGAACGTAAGCCAACTCGTCCTGGGTCTAAGTATCCGGGGCTTGTTATCGCATCTGTTAAGTCAAACCAAGCCAAACAAGCAATCATGTCAAAGAAGCGGGAGCTAAAAAACAGTGTTAACTACAAGAATATATATTTAGAGGACTTTCTCACACCGGAAATGTCAAATGTCAATCGTAATCTCCAAACAGTGCTCAGAGCAGTTGGAAAAGAGAAAAATTTTATAATCCGAAATGGACGTTTTTATAACAAGACGGCAACTGGGGACCGTACCCACACCACATAGGGGGACGGCCGACATCGGCTCTCCGTGGGCACTTGGAATGTAAATGGATTCTCAGTTACCCAAAATGAAAACTCCGCTTTCAGGAAGACTATTATAAAGAATATGAACTTTGATATTTTATGCCTAAATGAAACATTCCTCCGAGATGAGCAGTTTCTTAATATTGATGGATACACTTGGATCGGCCATAATCGCAGCACCATTCATAGAAATGCACGCCGGGGATCAGGAGGTGTTGGAGTCCTGATAAAATCTGATCTACTAACAGACTTTAAATATGAAGTTCTTGATAAATCAATGCCAGATACTATGTGGATAAAACTAAAATCAATCCACTCCAACTTCAGTGTGGTGATATGCGCCTGTTATCTTCCCCCTATATCTAGATGTACGAGAAACAGTGATCCAGAAGCTTTCTTTAACAACTTACTTCAAGGAGTCTATGAGTTTCAAAATGAGGGTACTCTATGCATTATGGGAGATTTTAATGCACGCATTGGTGACAATAGTGACTATGTTGAAGGTGTTGACACTATCCCCCAACGCTCAACTGTTGATTTTACTTTAAACTCATTTGGGGAACACTTTTTAAACTTCCTTGTTGATTCTAGTATTTGTACATTGAATGGCAGACAAGGAATGAATGACTTCACTTGCATATCTCATAAAGGACGTTCCATAGTTGACTACATATGTACCCCACATGAGCAATTAAATGGTTTTGAAAATTTCTCGATTTGGAGGCCAACAGATCTAATATCAAAGTTTAATCTACCCGCCCCAGCTGCACTACCAGACCATTGTATCCTGAGCTGTGATTTAATTCTTCCTTTGGACTTTGAATGGTATTCACCAAATGAAGAACAATGCCCAACTGAAGAAAACTTAAAACACAAAAAATATAGGATAAACAAGGTGCCCGATAACTTTATGTTAGATAATAACCTAATAGCACAAATTAATAAAACTTTAGATCGTATCTCAAGAACAAATAATACCACTGAGCGTATCAATTGTATGTACAATGAGTTTGTGTCAGCTATTGACAATGAAATGAGCAAAGTGTTCCAACCAGTCACAGTGAAGGCCACTGCTAAAAAACCCAAGTCATTCAGAAAGCCATACTGGTGTGATGAACTACAAACACAATGGAATAAAGTGTCTGCATCTGAATCTGCCTGGCTGAAATGTAAATCCACCCAAAAACGTAACTTGAAAGAACTTTACAAGATAGAACGACGAACCTTTGACAGAATCCATCGCAGAATAAAGCGACAATTCCAGAAACAAGAACAACAACATCTATTGGATATATACAATGAACCAAATTCTAGGAACTTTTGGGATAAAATTGGAAAAATTGGCATCGCCTCAGACCGAAAACAGGAAGTTCCTTGGGAAATTTTAAAACCAGACAAAACTGTATCAACAGACAAACAAGAAGTCTTAAATTATTGGGCCAACTCATACAATGAATTATATTCAGAAAAAGAGGACAATGTCAACTTTGATGAGAATCACTTGAAACAAGTCAAGGAAGAACTCTCCCATATTGAAAATGATAATGTTGACCCACTAAGTGCACCACTTAATGAGGACATAACCCTACAGGAAGTCATCAATGCAGTTCATCGAGCCAAAATTCGCAAAGCCGTGGGCATTGACTCAATCCCAGCAGAAGTATTGAAAAACCCAACTTGTATAAATATGTTGTATAAAATTATCATAGAATGCTTTGATAGTGGAATTGTCCCCCAAAAGTGGATGCAGACCATAATTAATCCAATTTTCAAGGATGGCGACAACCGTGACCCACTTAACTACAGAGCAATCAGCCTAATCTCAGTGCCATGTAAAATATACTGTGATATTCTTAACAAGCGCCTTACAAAGTTCCTTGAGAGCAACAACTTATTGGTTGATGAGCAAAATGGATTTCGTGAAAAGCGCAGCTGTTTAGATCATGCCCACAGCCTCCACTCAATAGTTAATAATCGTAAGTTGGCTAAACTTGAGACATTTGTTTGTTATATCGACGCAACGAAAGCTTTTAGTGGTCTAAACCGTGATTGTATGTGGCTAAAATTAAACCGCATTGGAGTCAAGGGCAAAATATTCAATGCAATTAAATCATTATATCAGGATGTATCTGGAGCCATTCGTGTCAATGGATATTTAACACCCTGGTTTACCATCAGCAAGGGTTCGAAGGAAGGCTGTCTGTTATCTCCAACAATATTTGCGATCTATGTGAATGACCTAGCCGCAGAAGTAAAACAATTGAACTGTGGGATAAATATAGACAACACAAATGTCTCAATACTTTTATATGCTGACGATATAGCCCTCATAGCCAGCTCTGCAGAAGACCTTCAGAGAATGATTGACACTGTAAATACATGGTGCAGGAAGTGGAGAATGAAAATCAACCAGAGAAAGTCCAAAATTGTACATTATCGCCCACCTTCAAAACCCCGTAGTAATCATCAATTCAACTGTGGCAACATGGAATTATCATATGCCAGCACCTATAAATACCTTGGTATATGGTTAGATGAACATATCAATTACAATAAAACTGCAAAAGAAATAGCCAAGTCAGCAAATCGTGCCCTTGGAGTTATAATCTCTAAGTATAAACAGTTAGGTGGCATGGATCTCTCAGTGTATAACAAATTGTATGACACCATGGTTCAGCCTATTATTAACTATGGATGCTCAATTGTTGGGCTGTCAGAACATAGCTGTATTAACAAAGTGCAAAATAGAGCTGGAAAATTTTTCCTGGGTGTTGGAGCAAAGACCAGCAATGAAGCAGTAAGAGGGGATTTAGGCTGGACACAAGCAAAGGATAAACAGAAAATTGAATGTGTACGCCACCTTATTAGACTCAGAAACATGAACCCCAACAGATTAAACCATAAGATCTACAAATGGTCTCTAAAAAGACGCTCAAGCTGGGATTCCAGAACACAGCACATAATACAACTAGCAGGCCTTGAACAACATTTAGGGACACAAACCCCATGTAAACCCTTCATGGAAAAAATTAGTGATTATTTTCAACAAACTGATCCATTTCTTACAAATATTTGGAATGATCAACATAACCTAGTCAATGGTAATAAACTGAGGACATATAGACAGTTCAAGTACGGAGTAGTAACTGAACATTATAACAACATTTACATGCCAAGACATCATAGGAAAATTCTAGCTAGCTTTAGAACTGGGTCCCTTCAACTTAATGTTGAGACACAAAGGTATAATAACACACCTTTATTGGAAAGGAAGTGTAAACTGTGTGACTCAAATGAAGTTGAAGATGAATTACATTTTCTTGTTAAATGTTCACATTATACAGAATTAAGAGACATGTTGTATCAGGAAGCCAAAGTTAAAGTACCTTATTTAAATACTTCAAGTGCCAATCCAACCTTAATTATGATCACATTACTACATGCAAAGAACATTCAAAGCTGCCTTGCTGCTACTCTTTACAAAATGTTCTCAAAACGTTTATTTAACCTGGAACGTTTGTGATATTAAATATGTGCAATATTATCAACCAGTCATAATTACTGTATTCTCATTTATTGCATTTTGAAATCACATGTTTATATTGTATGTTATTTAACTCTAGTCATTTTGTCTGTGAATTGTTCACACTCTGCAAACTTACTCTACATCCTCTGTGATATTATTCGACATACCGATGTTATATTTTTCTATTGACTATCTTTGTATATTTATATGGTGTCTCGTAAGCCGATGTCGGCTGTTGGGTTTTTTAATACATGTATTTTACTTGTAATATTTTAGTAAACCTGTGACACAGAAATAAACTATTATTAAACTAAAAACTAATATCATTTTATACTAGAATGTTTATTATTTAAAGATCAAAGGGAGAAATATTTAAATTCATACTTCCAAAACAGGCCAAATATGTATAAATTAACTGAACTATTTTCAAACAAAAGGTATACAATTCAACTAAGTAAATTTTTACAAAGCATTTTGAAAGGATTAAACTAAATAACTGCCATTAGATATTGTATCAATTTTGTATTACATGTATATTGTTATGTATATGTATTTATACTCACAGGTGTGGGTAGAAATAAAATCTAAACTGAAAACTGAAAACATACTGACCAAGTTTCATGACATTTGAAGCATAAATGACAAAATGCCAGGGTCATTGACGTTACTTCTTGGACACCCTGTAGTTTCAGAAATGACCGTTGACTCCGCACCGAACGCTCAGTTCTACGGCACCAAATATTTCCTACAGGCTCCGTCTGCATATGATGTACATGTATATGTATGTTTTGAAATAAATACTGTATTTATGACTGAAATTTCTGAAAATGTTAAAGTAGAAGGCTGGCATTGTTCTCCACTGCGTTGTCTAGCGTTTACGAAATATCCTGATAAGTAATTGTTCAATTTAACAACCAATTTCACAAATCTCTCCGATTTAACATTTAATTGTTGCCAAGTAATCCTTCAATTTTGCACGTCAGGTTTGATTTTACGCCCTGTATTTTCATTTGCTGTTTCACTCAATAAATAATCAACGTTTCCATTGCTAAATTGTTGAATTTCAATAATATCTGGATTTTGTTGAACATTTACCATTTTGTTTACAGAGTTCGTATAGTTCAGTGCACGATAATGTAGAGATACATGTTCATCAAGAGACAAAAACCGTCATGTCTATTTTTGCACTTTGAATCTTAATAACTTTAGGGATTGAGAACATATCAAGGATCTTTTTGGAGACATTATATTTGAGCTTGTAAGGCACACATTGGAAGATCAATTGTACATATTTGCAATATCGTCATTCCCTATAGATCTGATTCTGCCTTTAATCACAAATTGAAAAATATAATAAGAAGCTTCTGTGTATAAAAATATCATTATAAGACGTACCGTATAATCAACCAGTGTTTAATTGTATTAACTGTTTATTAGCTGTTTAACTTATTTCATTATTTGTCACTGGTATTAAAAATGTTAAGATCCGTCTTTGGTGCGCATTCAGTAGATATAGTGAATTAGGTAATCGATATTTTGTAAAATGCCGCTCCGATTCCAATGAAGTTCAACTAAAAAATAAAGGCAAAGAGCATTGAGTTTAAATATACACGTACAGTACCTCAAATTCACTGGTGATCGATTCAATTACTCTGGTTATCGTAAAACGGCTGATTTCCAACGATATAAGTTATCACAAATGTAAGTCATTTTCATATGTCTTACCTCCCTATCACACCAAACTAGTTCTTACCCGTTCTTGCCAGTACTCCTACGAAAAAGTCGTAAAACGGGCTAAATCTGGCTGTGGTCGGGAAATATGTCTAATATAATTAGCTACTTCGTTCATAAACAGTCTTCAATACGTCAATCTCATTCGAAGTTCGTTCAGGTCGCACCACGTCGGTGTGCAACGTCGTATAACGCGTCCCTTAGTCTGGAAGGTCATCATGACCTGATTACAGAACAGTATGGTCGCCATCACCTTAAAATCACCTTCCCGTCTGAGAAAGTTCATGAAGTTCGTATATAGACCTTAGAAAGTTGCAGCTACGTTCATTCCGTTCGCACACAGTTTAAATCCAGTTTTGAAGAACGCAGTGGCAACTCGTTCATAAGCAGTCTTTAATACGTTCTTAGTCAGTTTAAACCCGTTTGCAATTAGTTCTACCTCGTTCTCAATACGTCCTCAGACAGTTCAACTCGTTGTAAAAACGTCCCTAGTAGGATTGAAGTACGACGGTTCCGTTCGTAGTACGTCCAGCTCGTCGTTAGTACGTTGTCACTCGTTCTAATTGTAAAACATGACGACCACGAGAACATTTTGAGCATGTTCTAAGTTCTAGAGGACCTACCCGTTCGAGTACGTTTGATTAAGTTTGTACATGGACCCCAAACGGTTCTAAGTACGTCTAGTCCGTTCGTACACAGTTGAAGCCCGTTTTCGAGAACGTAGTGAGAACTAGTTTGGTGTGATAGTAGTGTTAGAAAATGTTTGCGAACAAAGCGTTCAGAATACAACAGAATCGTCAATTTAATACCCCACCTTTCTTACCGAAACAGAATTTCAAAAACGATTAAGATCTGCGCTTTTAACCCATTCCGTTTCGGTAACAATAGTGAAATATTTAATCGATTCTATTGTCTTCTGAAGTATTGTTCCGAACATATACATTTTCCTAAACATATAAACGGACACACGTTTTGAGATAAAAATCTCGTGTTAATTCTGCCTACAACGCGTGAAAATTTATCCCTTCGAGGTTCCGACATTTTGTTACCGAACGGTAACCAGCGTAATCGAGTGGATCAATAACAATTGAACTGTCATTTTATAATCATTACTAGGGTGATAATGGAACTAGCGCAAGATGTTTAATTCAATTAGTACCACTCATTTTGCAATAACCTTTATCAGAGATCTCAGGCCCGTAGCCAGGATTTGCCAAGGGGGGTTTAGTTTTCAAAAATTTCCAGGGGGCTTTCACATTTGACAATTTTGGCCCAACTATGGCTTAAATCACTTGAGAAGTGCTCAA